GGGCTGGAGAGATGGCTCAGAGGTTAAGAGCATTGCCTGCTCTTCCAAAGGTCCTGAGTTCAATTCCCAGCAACCACATGGTGGCTCACAACCATCTGTAATGAGGTCTGGTGCCCTCTTCTGGCCTGCAGGCATACATGCAAAACAGAATATTGTATACATAATAAATAAATAAATATTTTTAAAAAAACTGAGTAGATGTTGCCCACTCTGGATTCTTAATATCCTGTACCAAAGGGCATAGGTGGCCAAATTCATAGACATACTTTAATCTTTCTGTTTCTCCCACGAATGCCATAGAAATCAATAATAACAATAATAAAGCCACTGTCTGCAAACAAGCCCTCCGTCACCCACTGATAGGTTCAGACAAGTGTAAGACTGTGAGGAAAGGAAATTGACCAACTAACTCTGGTCATGTGACAGAGTCCCTCCACATGCCTGGCAAGGGGAATAGAATGCCCACAGACTTCGCCTCATGCTGGCCACTGCTGGTGGCCTCCGGAGCAAGGACCAAGCAGTTACCCAAAGGTCTTGCAACGTCCCATGTGTGCATCATGCCAGCAAAGTGTTTCTGAGTATAAGGAGAATTGTATAAACTGAAGCAAACTTTCTCCATAGTAGACAAAATGCCAGAAGGCCTTCATTTTCTGTTCCAATTAGACCTTTTCTGACTAAGCTGTCTAGTACCATTCCCCTCAGGAAGGTCATGGACCAGCCACTAGATTTTTCATGTGACTGCTCATGTTCAGCCATAAACAGAGCCAGATCATACATCTTCTAAATTTAGTTATCTGTATAGCGGGGCTTTCTAAAACCCACTAATCAAGCCTCCCTAATTTACATGTACCGCAAAGTACGTATACTAGACAGCAAGAGAAGGCAAGCCAACCCAGGACTGAGTTATATGATTAGAAAGTATTTCAGATAAGAAATCTCCTTGAAAACTCGCACAGAAACACTGCGACAGCAAGAACGACTCTCAGCTTCCCCGAGTTCCCCTGTCTAGTTTTTTGACGGGGTCAGCAGCTCAGGCCTGCTCTTCCACAGACATGATATGTCATGTCACACGTGTGCATGCATGTGAATGCAAACACCTTTTTCTACATGATAAATATGAGACAGGCGTATGAAGAGCTTCTCCACAGCATCTTTGAAAGGAACTCTTACAACCTGGTAAGAAAAAGGCTCACCAATGAAACAAACAGAAACTGCACAGGCGATCCACAAAGAAAGGCTTCAATTTACACATTTCTCTTACCATTCCTGAGAGAACAATAGGAAGAAATTCCCCGTTTCTGAAGTGTTTTCTGTTTTCTGTCAGATTTTTAACTTTCTGAAAGTATTGTTTCCAGTGTTGGGAAGGTGTAAGATGGGGGGGGGGGCAGAATTGGCTATCAATTCTGTATCAAAAGCTGACCAATTAACCTCCCACTGGCTAAGTAATCCTACATCTAGGCATTTTCCCTGAAGGGTTAATCATATAAGCACACAAAGATTTATATGAATATATATCATTCATTATAGTCTGTAAATAACAGTAGGACACAGGACACTCACACATGTCTAATAACAAGGAGATTAGGGGTTTTAAACCAAATCCATAGAAAACACATTCCCTGTTTGAAAGAGAGCTGCTCACAGGTATGGGTGAATCGTTTTAATTAGGAAGAAAAAGACCAGAGAACAAGCAACTTTTCAGGACAGATGTTTCTCTAGGTAAAGGAACAAACAGAGCTGTGGGAATAAGAATGATTTTTCACTTCACTTTTTTTTCATTTCCTGTCTTCCTGCTTTATAAAACAAATGTATGTATTCAGAAAACATATGCAATTGTCTTTCAGCATTTTGAATGGGTGTGGCAAAAGAAAATGAAAACTCTAAATTAGCATTCCCAGAACTTTATTTTTTTTTAATAGAAGGAAAAAGAAGGAGAGGCAGAAGAGAAGAAGCCACCATCATGTCCTAAATACCTACTATAATACAGGGCGGCTACAGTGCTACACTTAGTGGCGCTTGACAATAGCCATATGGGACAGTTTCTCACACAGGCCAAGTAAGTCGTGGGGAGGTAGACCACTTGTTTGTTTGTTTGTTTGTTTGTTTATTATGTACACAATATTCTGTCTGTGTGTATGTCTGCAGGCCAGAAAAGGGCACCAGACCTCATTACAGATGTTTGTGAGCCACCATGTGGTTGCTGGGAATTGAACTCAGAACCTCTGGAAGAGCAGGCAATGTTCTTAACCACTGAGCCATCTCTCCAGCCCCTAGACCACTTGGTTTTGACGATGGCAAAGTGTTCAACTGTCTTCCTACTCTCCATGTGGGTTTTTTTTTCTTTCCTTTCGAGTTTTAAGGGGAAGTTCTTTCAACTTCTTACCTTATACAATGAAGTGTGGTTGATCAGTTCCTCGTAGTTAGAATTTTCACATTTTATAGGCAAAGATTTCTTGACTTCCACATTTCTGTTTATCACAAGTTTTTCAGAAAAGCAGCTGTGTTCATTTCTTTTAATGACAGTTAGGGTCCAAGTTTTATGATCACTTCTATGAAACACAGGTATAGAGAGGGATTTTGTGGTTACTAGCAAGATTCTGCAACTACCTCCAGTCTTCCAGTTTTACCCTAATTTCTATAGGAAGAGATTTATTCACTGAGATGCAAACTTTTCTCTCCCATCCCTTAGCTCAGATCAGAGAGTTTACAACTGTCATGGGATGAAAGATTACACTCCAGAGCAGTCTAGGAACACACACAGACCATCACAACACACACTGCACATGTGCACACCACAAACACACACCACACATACATACCAAATATACCACATACAGTCATCCATATGGCATGGATAGGAGAGCGATAAATGGTTTAAACTTTATCTTCGATGCTGGACGGATTCAGAGACTCACAGGCCAGGAGAGAAGGGTGGCTTTAGTTTCAAAAGAACTGCCGACCTTGTCTCCTGAATGTGTATGCATATGTACTGTGTCTTCTGTTTCTCAGGGTGGTTTATTCTACGATCTTTCTCCTTACTGTTGAATAAACCGGAGTTTGGCCCAGCCCTTGCACAACTGAACAAGGGTGAACTTCATTCAATATCTCTTTTGTCTGTGATTTCTCTTCTTAGAAATCAGCCATCTTGAAGATGATAAATGGCATGTTTTTAAACAACAGTTTTTTAGAAAGAAAGGAAGAAAGAAAGAAAGGAAGGAAGGAAGGAAGGAAGGAAGGAAGGAAGGAAGGAAGGAAGGAAAGTAAAACCATTTGCAATTGTGTGTTTGTTTACACCGTACTAGGGACATATCCGTCTTTATCCTAAAAGTAGTAAACATGTTGCTAAGTTGTCCTGTGACCTGGGAAATGTATTTATACCTGGGCTTTCCCAGGTCCCCTTTATATCTATGAGGAGCTGGATAGAAGAGAATGAAGTGTTCTGTTGCTCACTGACTCCCAGATACTTTGCAATGTGTGGATCCAGGAGAGCCTGACCATTTTCCTCAAGTTCACATAAGAAAGTCAAGGATTCAAACAACCAAGTAACTTGTCCCATGGTCACATGTGCGTGTGTGTGTGAGTGTGAGTGTGTGTGTGTGTGTGTGTGTGTGTGTTGGAGGAGGCTGCTTGTTCATTCCTGGCTGCCCAGACCCAAACTAATTGCACAGAAAACTCTATATCACCGCATTGCCAATAGCTTAAGTGTCTTTCTAGCTAGCTCTAATCCATTTCTATTAATCTGTGCATCACCACGAGGTTTGTGGTTTACCAGTAAAGTTCCCCAGTGACTGTCTCCTTAAGCGGCAGCTACAAGGCGTCTCCTTGACTGCACCTACTTTCTCTCTATATCTCTGTTCGGATTTCCCGCCTGGCTTTACTCTACTAAGCCTTGGCGGAAACAGCTTCTTTAATAACCAAGAGTAAAAAAAAAAAACATATTCATAGCCTACAGAGGGGAATTCCATATCATGTGTGTGTTGTTGTTGTTGTTGTACTGGATGGGACCAGGATATAAATGCACATTGGGGCAGGAGTGGTTGACATAATACTACATTCTCACATTCTATGCAGCCCTGCTCTTTACTTTTGGTTGAACATAGAGAAAACCAGCCAGGGCTGGAGAGGGGGACCAACTGATCTTCAAGGGAGCTCAGGTTCATTGGCAGAATTCTCTTCTTAAGATTCCTCTTGGCAAGTCACACTTAATTCTCAATTCCTAACACTCGGCAGATCTTGACAGTGCCTGTCATGTGTGGGAACCCCTTAGAAATGCTGAACCAAGCAACACTCTGCCTTTGCTGCCCAAGAGCGAGTTCAAGGACTGATATGAAGTTGAGAACAAGGGAGCAAGCATCTAGGATCCCCACTTCCTTGTAACCTATGCCCATGGATCAATGCTCAATGTCACTCTGATTATAGTGGCACCTCTGGCTGAGTGCTGTGTGGGTTTAAAAGAAAATAAAATGGCTTAAAGGCTGATTGCTTAGTTGTAGAGCATTTGCTCCACATGTACACAATCTTAGGTACCAACAGCAGCAAGCTAAAACAAGATGAGAGAAGAAGAGAGGGGGGAGGGAAGGAGGGACTAAAAGAGCAAGGACTGCTCTTCTCTTCTCTCTGGCTCCAAGATAAGCTTTCTGTGCATCAGCCTCAGGCTCCTTCCCCCCATTTCTCCACCTCCACCACAGAAACATCTCTCTTCTGTTTGGCTTTCCTTCTTAGCTGATTTCCTACTCCCTTTAAAAGGTTTTCATTTCTAAAATCCTGTGTGTATGCAAATGTGTGAGCCTGTGCATAGGCAAGCATAGGGGTCTGCACAGCCCAGAAGAGGGCATTGGTACCTAGAGCTAGAGTGACAGGAGGTTATGAGTCACCCAACATGGGTGCTGGAAACTAAACTCAGGTCTTCCACAAGAGCGATGCATTTCTCAACCACTAAGATCATTTGCTCCACACTGATTTCCTTCTTGAAATATGACGCAGACAAGGAGTTCTTATACCTGTACTGTATCTGAAGATGTTCAAGGTACCTGCTTCCCCGTGAAAGCTCACTTACAGTCAACGCCATTGACAAAGCTCCTTCCTTGTCATCAAGTCATGTTTGTCCAACCCCACCTTCCAGCATCCTTCAGGCATTGTCTCTGAAATCTTCGGTGCCTCCTTGGGCCTCCCTGCTGCTCCCTCCTCCCTCATTCTGATTGCCCTTCTGTTGCTTCCTAACGCAGTCTGTCTTCTCTGCCCTTGACATCAGAAAAATCAAGAGCAAATACCCTCTGTCTCCATCTACTCCCAGGGATGGCCACAGGTGCCTCTTTCCCTCAAATGACTCTGTCCACCGTAACCAGAATATTCATGTCTTTAAGTTAAGTCTATACAGCTTGAACAGTGGGGACACAGGTTGTTTCTCTTCTCCATTCATCTTTAACTTGCTCTAGAAAGATCCAGTTGCAACCGATTTATTATGTTTTTCTCTCTTAACGTGTCATAAGAACTGCGCTGTTTCAAAAAACAACAGTCCTACGACTTGTTTCTGAGGCTCAGAAGTTTCTGTGTCTAATAAACAGCTATGACCTCATTTTATGAGAAACCACAGGAGCGAGAAAGAGGCTTTGCTGCGAAATCTCACTTCTCTCTCAAAGGCTCACTGATAACGATCAGGAGTCACCCTAGAATAAAGAGAGATTTCTAAAAGAAATCTGCTACTTCTCATAGCACAGTGGGCAACACCCAGCGAGCCTAAGTGAGTTTTCACAGGTCAGTGGCAACTCTTTATAAATAAGAGTATAAATAAGAGATATTTGCCTGCCCATGTAGCATGTACCTCTGTGTGAAAAGCCTTACTGACCTTGGCTACTAGCTTGTGGCTAGGTGACAACTATACCTTTCCCCCCAATAACCTTGCTTCTTTTTTTCCCAGTAACCTCTGAAAGCTAGACTAGGATTATTTCATAAACCCTACCCTTTCTCTGAAGCCTGAGGAGGCCGTGTGGGAAGCTGCCCTTTGTAGCTCCTTTCTCAAGTGCATATTATTCTTAGACAGAACTTTAAAACCCACCGGAATTCCACCTTTTTATTAACAAGGAACTCCTAAAAGGAAATCTCATTCATCATTCTTTGAGGTCACTAAGAAGATAAATATAGGTGAATATAGAGTGACCAGCTCAATTTTCCTGCAATGAAATGTTGGTTTCCTGTTGAAGCAAAAGCAGGGGAGGAAAACAAAATGCATGGGTTATCTGAGCTTCCTGATGGAGATTTGAATTGCTGAGCCAAAAGCCAAGAGTCCTAGGAAATATGCAGAAACCAAATGGCTAACTCACCCCACTTGGGAAGAGTATGTTCCATTGTCTTCCAACTTCACTGGCCAGAACTCCAAACAGTGACTTTGCAAAGTAATTCTGGGTGAACTTTCAGTGTTCAGCTCTACATATCCATGGGAAGCATCGACTCGGAACCATCTTATGGCGGCTGTTTCGTTCTTGACACAGTGCTTCAGATAAAAAGGCTCTCCTTCTAGTGTGTGAATTTTATGGCGTTGGATGCAAGTTTCTACAGCAGATTAACCAAGGAAAGGGAGACAAAACAGGACAAAAATGATTTTTTTTCACCCCTCGGGTATAAAAGTAAGATCGGTGAGAAGGCTACAAAGAAATCTCAGCATCACATTCCTGTACTGGATTTTGTCTGAAAACAGACCTACCGAAGACAAGACATTTTTGGAACAAAGATGAAGATGAAACTGATGGCTTCTCCTGGACAGAAAGCTAGCTGCAAGAGCGTAACCAGCTCTCCCTCAAGACAAGGCACCATGGCCACATCTTAAAAGTTAAGACACTAGCCTGGCAGTGGTGGCACATGCCTTTAATCCCAGCACTTGGGAGGCAGAGGCAGGTAGGTCTCTGTGAGTTAGAGGCCAGCTTGGTCTACAAGAGCTAGCTCCAGGACAGGCTCCAAACAAATTTCTGTTAAGGAAAGACACAGGAAGTCATAGCGTAGCCACATTGCCCCAAAATGTCACCACTGTAGACGCCTCATGGAAAAGACAAGAAGTCTATATGTGCATCCTTCATCTAGATCACAACCAGCCTCATGTCCCTTGTGCCCAAGCAGTCTGCCTACTTACTTCTAGGAAGGTTTGGGAGACACAGTAGAGCTCTTGGGTAGCTAAGCCCCTGCAGCAAGCTTCCATATGTAACCAAAGAACTGACGGAGATGGAACATTCCCATTACAGGGTCTCTTTCTCCTTCTATCTCCATTTCTCAGCTCAGATCTGCTCTTCGAAGATTTACCTGTTTTGTTCCATCTCCACAGAGTGGACCTCCATTCTCAATTGGAATTGTCGAACCCTTCTCCCACCCCCTGCCCTCTTGGTCTCAAATGCCCGTAATCTTTATTTAGAAAATTGCAATCTCTTAAGGAAACGGAAATATTTCCTTGCGACTACATACAAAACGCTGTGCCTGTCGTTAGGGCTTCTTGTTCAGAGCAACATTCTGACTTTAACTTAACCCTAACCACAGCTGGAGAAGGAAGTGGCTCAAATGTCAGATCTACTTCAAGGTGCAAGAATGACCTTGAAAGCCAGCTTCTTGCTGGTGGCAGTAAGATAATCTCTATTTTACATTTCAATTCTCAACACAGTTTCTCCTTGACAGTCAAAACAAGAGTAAGCTTCTTAGCATTTTCATAACGCTCCTGCCTTACAGAGTCGTAGTAATAAAGTGTACAGCTCATACAGTCCTTGTGCTTCTGTGTCCTGATCCTTTTGCACATTATCGAGTCTATGATTGCTGTTCGGTTTCCTACATGCAGCCTGTAGTGTGTACCATTCTTTCCTCGTTATCATGTAGTGTATATTGGGGACTTGGATTGTTGTAAAACAATCTATTGGGAGTTTGAAGTTATTTTAGGTTTCGAAGTGTTGATTCATTAAGGGGGGGGGGTGCCTGCCAGGTGATGCTGTGATGCTGTTGTATGTCTTTAATCCCAGGAGGAGGCAGAGGCAGATGGATCTCTGTGAGTTCGAGGCCAGCCTGGTCTACAGAACTAGTTTCAAGACAGGCCCCCAAAGCTACGCAGAGAAACCCTGTCTTGAAAAACAAAACAAAGCAAAACAAAACAACAACAACAACAAAAAAGGTCTTTAGTTATATAAGTGAAGAGAGGTCAAGGTGTGTTTACTGTGAACAGAAAGTTTGGTTCTTTCTTGGACAAAGTCAATGGTTGAAAGTGTCTTAAGTAGACAAGTGTGAGTGGCCAGCCCCAGCAAGTCAGATGAATTTTACGTACAGAATACTGCTGCATACGACTACAATTCCCGCTCCTGAAAGGTTGTCCTCTAAGCCCCCAGAGGAACAGGGAGCCAGAACCGGAGCCCCAGACCCCACAGGCTGTAGAGCTGGATTTGTGAAGACTGTACTCCTCGGCTATCAGGATCAAGTGCTGTTTGTCTGTGGAGCCTGGCACAGGCTCACATCTTCCTGTACTGCGCTGTTTTTCTCAGCAGACCCTGACCAATCATTCAATACAGAGGGGAGGAGAATGAGCAGTCTTCAACATCTGGGCAGCGCTGTACCGTGTGATAGGTACCATCCCACCACTGCGCGGGTCCCTTCACAAGCACGCCTCGGGACTGGACATGCATTGTGGGAGCTTTAAGAGCTAATCTCTGTTCTCCCTTCACAGCCATTCCCAAAGGAAGGGAGATGGGCCCCAGTGTTCCCTTTGGCAGGAGACATTCTGAATAAAAGTAACTGTCTTGCTCCCTTTCTCCTCCGAGTCCTGTTCAGTCCTCGATTGAGGAACTTTTCTTTGAAGAACAGGACCTTCAAATCATTCCCCAGGGGGAGAAGAGCACCAAATGCCCACAGCTAACAAATTAAAGTTAGTGTTTGGCCTGCCCTGATGCCTGCTTTAGCTTCTAGTCCAGCCTGTCTTTTTCTTCTATTTCCTAGCACTTGGGTAATTTTGAAGATCTGAAAAGGGTTATCTATTCGCTTTCTTTTGAATTTCCCCTTTAAAGTGAATGAATTCTTGGTATCCTCCCAGTCAAGAAAAAAACATATAAAATTGCCTAAAGCCGATAAAAAAGACGATTGTTTTCTTTTCCTATTTCAAATCAAATGAAGCAGTTTTCTTTGAAAGTGAAGTTTCTATGCCCCTGCCTCCGTATAGTAAGTGTTCTCTAGTCCTTTATTTGGCCCCTCCCTGCCTCTCTTCCACTCTCTATCCCAGGGACACCAAATATTTCCCCACCATCTAAAGTACAATTTGCCGTCACTGACTATCAAATAAATTCAGCATCTTCAGTAACCATATCAGCTATAAAGAAAAAAAAAGCCTCCATAATTTCCCTCTAGTTGCCTAGTGAAGTCTCTTTGTGAGTGTTCGTGAATCACTTACTTGAGGCACTTCCAACAGCGAAAACACAGAGCAGCAAAAACAGCTCTCCACGATGCATGGTTGGGTTTCCGCAGCAACTGGTGTCTCTAGACAAAGAACAGCATAAATTTAAACTTAAGCCCGCAAGCAACCACTTCCACCTTAAAAGGGGAGTTTTAAAAACTCTCCTGACACATAAAAAAAAGTCAGCCCAGCGATGTTTCCTATCTTTTAAAATAGTCACCAATCTGCCAAACGTTTAGTGACATAGAATGAATAGATTTCAAGGCAATAGATTTTAGGTCCTATAAAACATAAATGTTTAACATTTTTAGTAGAATGGAGCCCTTGACTTTTAGCTTGACATACCACATCTTGCTTGCTTTTAGGGGCAAAGCAAAAGTCTAGAGAAATCTATGATTTTACAGACTGGAAATCCATAGCATATTGAGGAATGCAAGGCCACCATGTAGCCTGCAGTGTGTTTGTTCATGTGTGCTTGTGTGTGTGTGTGCATGTATGTGTGTGTGTGTGTGTGTGTGTGTGTGTGTGAGAGAGAGAGAGAGAGAGAGAGAGAGAGAGAGATTCCAAAACCGTTCTAAGTATGTGAACTAATCTTCTCATAAAGAGAAAATCCTCATTTTGACTTACAGTTTCTGAAATTTCTCACAAGTTTCACAAGTCTAAGAATTATGTTGTCTCGTCCATCAGCAAAGCTTACGCAATGCCTGGCGCACAGTAACCACTATCACTGAAGAAGAGGTGTGTGTGCCCAGGGCATGAGTCAGCACTGGCTGCCCCAGTGTGTTTCCTTTAGGGAAACTGAGGAAATAAGTTGGAGGGGTCCCAGTCATGACACTGATCCCCCTTACATTGACTGTGACCCCAGGTCACAGACCTACTGCTTTGAACTTTGATCCTGGAACAGTTCAACCTTGACCTTGCTAACTGTGAGTGACAAGTGTAGGATGGGAGAAAACTCTTTCTTGGTGGAGTCTGCACAAGTCGAACTATTTCAAAAAGAGCCCACATTTCCTGCTTACTGAAAAGCCCACCGCCTCCACCCCGCTGCCTCAAAAGAACACTGGCCACGCAGAACACGGCAGGCCATGAAGAGGTTGGTTTCTTTCAGACGCACACAAAACTGACGAGAATCCCAGTCTGATAAACCACAGGGAGTTGCAGACCTTGGAAAAATGAAATAATTAGCTCAAGGACTGTTGGCTCATTGCAGGAACACAGAAGGTGAAACGGCTTCCTGCAGAATCATTGGGGAATCAGAGTACCTAACGCTAAAGAAGACATCTGCATGCATGAGAGCCTCACAACAACGTTACAACAATACCCCAACTGCCACTCACCTCCCATCCTAACTAGTCAATCACAGGAGAAGACTTTCAGGATAAAGCTACCCAAACCATCTATCAATTCGTAAGAGAGGATGCTGAATAGAATGAAAGCAAAAAGGATATTCGTTCGTGGAAAGTACCCACCATTCAGAGTCAGAGGAGAACAATGCGCAACTCGAAACCTCCAGCCACCCCATCTCACACCTTCTCTTACTGTCTGATAGTTCTGTCTCGGATGGAATGTGAAGTGTGATTTCCCCTCTGCCGTTTCCGCTGCGAGGGCTGTCGCAGACTAGCAAGAGGAGCTAGGTTTTCATTTTCCTTTTCAATTCTAAGCGCTAACAAGAAATAAAATTACATAATCATTCAGCATTCTGAGAAGCAGAGTTTTCAATGTGAGACGCGTTAAGATCTCTGCATGTAAAAAAATAGATGCTGTCCACATAGTTGGGGGGGGGTGCGGGGGGTATACAGCACTTGAATGTTTTACCGTACTTCTGCGTTCATAAGATAGTGTGGCTCAGTTTTATGGAGAACAGCTGCTGGCCCCAGCCTAGCGGGCTCTCGGTCTTCGTTCTTTCTGTTACCAGCTTAACAGTCATGGCCAAGTCTCATAGCCTAGCTGTACTCTGGGTCCTTTAGCCACAGAAGGGAATGACAGTTTTACCTCCCAGGGCTGATATGGTGGCTACAAGGGTTCCTATTCAAAATGTCCAGGGAATAGTAAGTTTCATCTAAATGTTGTCTATTACCATTGTTTTCTTATCTCTTATCATTTTATTGGTGTTATGATATGGTCAAACAGGCAAGGAGTCCAAGGCAAGAAAATCATGCTGCCCAGCTACATTCCAGAAACCTCCCAGCAGCTTCCATTTCCTTCCTCACAGGTACAGGACACTTTCTACCACACCCAAGACAGCACACCTCGCCTTGATTCATTAGATCTAACCAGACTGTTTATTTGAGTCTGTGTTTTCATTCTATTAGAAACAAAGCAAACACTATAACATAAGACTAAGCTGTTTTATTTCATGACTATGAACCTTTTTATAGCAAGTGATTCTTTCCCCATTCGACAATGTTTGGAATTTTATTATCCAACTTATTTAGCTTACTTTTAATTTCTCTTTTGGTCCATTAGCATATGGAAATTTTTATATTGATGAACTCAAACCAATACTCGTGTGTGTGTGTGTGTATTTCCCATTATTTTTAAGTATAGATCATTCCTTTTATTTCTCAGTGGTAAAACAAATAGTTACTGATACTTTCTTCACTTTTATGGCTTTGTTATTGTTTTTACATTTGACTTATTTTTAAATTTGCAAATATTAATTTTGTTTGCTATAGAAATAGAAGCTAAACAAATTTTCATTTACAAAATAACTATGAATAATTTCTCTGCCTAATCAAGTAGTCCCACCCTCCCTTGGAGGTTTGCTGATATCTACTTATAATGTGCAGGCTCTCCCAGAGCATCTGTGGAAAATCCAGCGCAGGATGCCTGTCCAGGGGCAAATTGTGCAAGCGTGCACACACCCACTTTCTGTCTGTTCTCAATTTGCCTACCTATTTACAGCAACTGATACTAACTGGCATGTCACACTTTATGTCTGTATGATGGTTTATTTTTGGAATTGATGAATGAACCAAATCCATAAAATATAGACAGATGGGAGTCTTGAGCAATCATTCAATTCACTGCACACCTGAACAAACTTAATACTTTATAAAGCATGATATCTTCAAAAGTCTGTTTTGACAAACATGATGCTCAGTAAACATAACACGGAGCTTTTGAAAAGATAAGGAAGCCTGGGCTCTACACAACTATCAGGGCACAGCCTGGGCTCAACAAAGCTGGCAGGGGACAGCCTGAGCTTCACACAGCTGGCAGGGGACAGCCTGGTCTCCACACAGCTGGCAGGGGAAAGCCTGGGCTCCACACAGCTGGGAAGGGACGGTCTGAGCTCCACACAGCTGGGAAGGGACAGTCTGAGTTCCACACAGCTGGCAGGAGACAACCTGAACCCCTGAATCTTCTAAACTCCCCAGGGCTGATTCCAGTGCACAAACAGAAAACCACCAATCTATAGGACTTACCTGCTCACTCGGAAAAGTAAATTTCATAGTAGATCCATTTACTTAAAAGTTAATACAATATGAAAAGATAAAATACAGGTACAAGCATGTATGTGTGTGCCCATGAGCATAAAGAATAGTTACAAACTCAATTACCCAATGATATAAAATTTTCTCTTGATTAAAGAAGTTCTCTCAAAAAGTTATGCGATCAGGTGGTACAGAATGAAGACCAGAAGCAAGGTACCCAGTATCTTGTCCTCCCAGGCAAGGGTGCTCTTGCAGGATATCCTTTCAGAATATCAAAGTGGCCATCTCCTGAGTTCCTGTCCCATCCCCTTTGGGCGCCTCACCACAAGAGAACAGACCATAGAATAAACAGCTCATCCAAACACACACGGATGTTAATAAAGTTTCTACAAGGCTTCCCAGTGGGGAACCTGGGGCTGAGAGTGGGAAACAGTCCAGCCCACGACAGGGAGTTTCACTGACTCACGAGTAAACACACTGCCTCAGTGTCAAGCATTCATTAGCAAAACACAACACTGAGGGATCCCTAGCACAAAATGCCTTGCTGAAGGTTGCAATGCCCCATGAGGTTTCTTCTCCACGCTGAGAACTGAAGACAGGCTAGGCAAGCACTCCAACGCTAAGCTGGGCTGTCCATGTTTCATCCTTGTTTGTTTGCTTGTTTTTAACACAATCCTTTCTCTACAATCTCTAATGCATAAGTGTTTTACTTCATCTACAAAGAGGTGAAACAGCCCGGTGTAACTGGCAAAAATGATCTTGGACACACCCATGCACTTCTGCGCTAAAGCAAAGGATGTGTGAAATCTGATTTTCCATCTGTAAGGCCCAGAAAAATCACCGCCACCTCACA